GTAAACTCTCCGCCGCCGAGTATCGTGGGGAAAGAAGAGAGGTGGAGTGAAGCTTCGTTGTCTGGTGACCCGCCGAGCCGAGCGTGATTGTGAACCGAGGTGGATCGCGGGCGACGATGGAGAGAACGATACGCCACGGTAGACGGAGTCGACGAGGCGAGCGCTATGGTGCTGCAGCCGAGGCGACACAGATCCGAATCCAGTGCCGAGCCAAACAAGTTGTTTGCGAGCCGAACTCCGACACCGGGGCGAAGAAGTTGTGTGCCACCGAGTCGAGTCTCGGTTGATAGGGTGGTCGCGAATTTCGGCGAAGACGAATTCACCCTCTCCACGCCGAGGTGGTTCGTCCGAGGCGAGTTCGGTCCGACCGAGGTGGTTAGATTCGATCGAGGCGAGTTCGGTTCGACCGAGGTGGTCAGATTCGACCGAGGCGAGTTCGGTTCGACCGAGGTGGTTAGCTCCGACGCCGACTTGAAACGCCGAGGCGGAGGTTAGCAACCGTCGTTGCGAAAAGGTGCGAGTTGGCGATGGGTTGAAACGTTTGTGGCCTCGGTCCCGTCAATGAGCTTTGTCTTCCGGTTCGGCGTCTCAACCGAGGTGAAACGTCATGTCGGACCGAGGAGGAGCGCATTGAGCCGCCTGCTTGGACCGAGGCAAGATCGTCCTCCGAGCTTGATAACAAGATCGATCCGCCCGTTTTGTCATGGGTTGAACCGAGGTGATATTTTAAAAGATGCCGGGGTGGATTGTGATGGCAGAGAACCCGTCTCCTTTGAGTCCAAGGAATCGCCCTTTTGAGGCCGGTTCTTCGTACGTTTCTCCGTGCTTAGAAGACTTGGATGGCTTAAGAGACGGTCTTCACTTCCTGGAGGAAGAGTCATCCAAACACCTGGCTCTGATGCAGGTAGCGCGACCCACCTAGTCTCCCCTGATATCGCAGCTGCCGAGGTCTATGAAGAGGATGACATTGTCAAGTCAGAGCAGGAAGTCGAAGTGGAAAGCNATGTTAACTTGCCGGCTACGCAGATTTCCATGAAGAAGAGGAAACCGCGGACTAAGCCTGACCCGCCGGGTTCCACGCTTTCCATTCGTCAGTCTCTACGTGACCTTCGTGCTCGTTTCAAGATCCCCAAGGAAATTAAGTTTACTCTTCCGTCTTCGTCAGACCGAGCTGACGACCCTCTGGAAGGCTATTTTACTGTATATGAGGCTTACTTCGATCTGTGCTTCCTTTGGTTCCCCATCCCGGAGGTCTTACTTGAGTATGTGTGGGAGTACCGCATTGCCCTGGCTCAGATCACGCCTCGTGGACTACGCCATTTGATTGGACTCTTGGTGCTCAGCTACGAGTGTAACCGCGAGCTCACCGTGCTTCACTTGATGAATCTTCTGGAGATTCGAAAGACGGGTAGTAAAAGCAAGATTAACTATTTCACTTCAGGCAGAGCTTTTTACCAGGTCATCAAAGACTTCCCCAGCAAGNACAACTTCTGGTTTGAAAAGTTCTTCTTTGTGAAGATAGACGGGGCTTCTGTTGGTTCTAACTGGGTTGATAAGATCGTGACCGAATGGCGGACTCGCGGTAGCAGTTTTTGTAGTTTTTAGAGTCGTCAGCTGTTAGGCTAGTCATTGGGCTCCGTTTGTTGTAGAAATTTTTCCTGATACTTTCATGTTCCTTGTTTGTTTTGCAGCACCGAAGCGGTTGGTGGAGTTTCCGAAGGACACGAACAGTTTACACGACGCCCTGATCGCTCGATGGTGTCGTTGGAGGAAGCACTTCTCTTTCCGACGAGTTGAAAGAGCTAGAGCCCTGCACGTTGGTTCCACACTTCCGGGTCCGTCGCCGTCTTCGACTCACACCGGATCCACTGTACCCATGTCTACCAGGCTTACTATTCGTGATAAGCTGAGGCTAGCCAAGAAAGAGAAGGCCGACGCTGCACGGCGTGCCGAGGAGCAGTTTGAGGAGCAGTGCTCCGAGGATATCCGCACCGAGATCCAACCGGGTTCCACGGCGGGGACACACATCGAGTCGCCCATACCGATTGCAGATGATCCTGTTGCTGACCAGACTGCTCATTCTTCCTCTCCAGTTCGTGCAGCTTTGACCAGATACGAGTTGGCTCACGCTTCCCGCCCGACCGTCACGAGGGGACAAGTCACAGGAACGAGAGCCGCAAGCATGGGACGGATAGCAGGAGAGAATCGCATTCTGAGGAGAGGGTTTTCAAGGAACCAAGACGCTACTCCAGTGAGCGCGGGGCGGCTGCTTCTGAGCTCGACCAGACCGCCCCCAACGTGCTGTCCAAGATTACTCTTTCTGGTACTCGCTTTCCTCCGCCCGATACCTTGGAGGGCGACGGGAACTACGCCGCGACTGCTCATCATGGGATCCAGGTATGTCGCATCCTTCCTCCTTGTCTTCAATACTAAAAAAATGGATCCTCTCTCTTCTTAAGGATTTTATTTAAAGTTTACGTGCTTCGTTGTCGTTGGCAGTTCATCGTCCATCTTAACAAGATGGTTTTGGACTACGAGGCGCAGTCCAGGGCAGGTAAGCTTCACCTCGAGAGTGTGCAGCGGGATGCCGAGAGGTACAAAGACGAAGCGAGTGCGGCGAAGAAGCAGTTTGCTGACTCGGAGTCTGAGATGACGCGACTTCGCGACCAGCTCATCAAGGTGCAGAAGAAGAATGATGATCTGACCGCGTCCAACGACCGTCGCTTCCAGAGGCTACAGGATTGTTTAATTTTCATCGACTTTATTTTTTTGAGAGTCTTGGTTAGGAACGTTACTTTGTAATACAAATTGTTTCAATTGCATTAGAGAGTGATTGGTAAATTGGCTTTAAATGTGGGTTAAGACATGGAGATTGTGTCAGGGAGATTGTGTAA